CCCCAAAACCCCAAAACCCCAAAACCCCAAAACCCCATACGCTAAAAATAGTTTAATAAAGTGAAATTTACAATCAATAATTTAAAATTATAAATACTTTATACAATGCATAAATTAGATGTAACACAACAAGCAATCAAAAAGTTGTCTTCCAACCAAATCCTTAGCTAGGGAAACATGAATCAAAAGCAATTCTTTTAAAGGAGAAATCAAGTTTCATTATAATAAAAGACTTCAGCAACATCTAATACTAGAGTTACCTCACCATCTGAATTAAATTCCTAAAATTATTCTAAAACTCGTTTATCACTAAAAGCACCATGATTATCATATGAAATAAGATAAAAGTAGCCACAAGGCTTATAGTCACTGCCAAGATTAAACAAAAGTTTTGTCTCAAGCTAATAAACTTCTAGATTTAGTTCTCCTAATAAAAAAATTGATGCCCAATACTCTGATTAATCAAACAATAATATTAAAGAGGAAATAGCTATTAGGAGGACTCCAACCACAAGAAAATCATAACCTAATGTAGATATATTAAGGCTCTCACTGAATGTCATGCAACTAACAGTTAATGATCCTATCCCAGAGAACATTGAATTCAGTAAATTGGACGAAACATTAAATCTTGTTGTTCCTGCTGGCGCCAAAAAACGAAGGTAATCATTCCGTTCAAGAAGTCCCTCAAAAAATTAAATACAATCAATGATTATAAATGAAAATATTGAGAGGAAACTAGATAGCTTCCATAGATAAAGAAATAAGTAACTAGATACACTTGCTGATGTGAACATTATGGAATTTCATGGTATCTCGAGTTAATAACGAGCAAAGTTTATTGATTGGATGATCTAAGTATTCAGAGTCTTGAAAAGGGGTTCAATCAAAACTTTTTTAAATGCTGCTTTTCTATTGGATAAGTATTATAAGATAAAGAAATATTCAGGAATCTAGATAAGCAGGAAAGATTTCCAACTAATTGGATTAACGTTAATACTCATATGCTCTAAATTTGAAGATAGTGAACCTATTACAATTCATTAAATTCTATTTGAAGCTTCTCATGGAAAATATCACTCAGCTTAGATTTTCCAAAAAGAGCAGGAAATATTATAGACTCTAGATTACAGATTTCATGTTGAAAGTTATTATGACTTAGCTTCTCAAGGTCTTTATCAGCTTACAAATTAGTTCAAGCTGCTTGAAATTAGTGAACTAGATAAAAAGATTGTCTAGAAAATTGTAAATTTCATTAGTTAGTTGATAGTTATGCAAACTGAGATATTTCAAAGTGATCCAGAACAGTTGAGTTAAGCTATTTAATGGCTTACTCTTAGATATATGAAGTATTATTACAGATAAAAATGCTTTTCAACTAACGAGGATGAAAATGATACTGCTATAATCAAAGACTCTAAGGGCCTCAAAAACTTGGATGCTTTTGAACAGCTAACAAAATAATTTAAACAGTAGGTAGCTTTGAAATAAAAAATCAAGTATAAGAGATTGATGATAAGAATAATAAACTTCTATGACAATCTTGAAGAGTCTCATCCTGGGATTAAAAACATTTATAAAAGCTATAAGCTTTTCTTCACTAATGAATCTCGGTAAATATTATTAAATTGTTTACCAAAAATGAAAGTCAAAAGACTTAAAAGTAGATGAACTATAGATCTCATTGATCATTTGAACCATTTCTATTTTAGAGAATCAAATTTAAACAATAATAGACTGCCTTTGATCATAAAATTACTGATTATTCAAGTATTTATATGAGAATTATATCCCCTACTTTATATAATTTCAGCTATTTTATATCGTGGGGTTTTGGGGTTTTGGGGTTTTGGGG